GTGTCCTCAGTAACAATTCTGTGGCCCTCAGTAACAATTCTGTGGCCCTCAGTAACAATTCTGTGTCCCCCTGAGTAACAATTCTGTGGCCCTAAGTAACAATTCTGTGGCCCTGAGTAACAATTCTGTGGCCCTAAGTAACAATTCTGTGGCCCTAAGTAACAATTCTGTGGCCCTCAGTAACAATTCTGTGTCCCTGAGTAACAATTCTGTGGCCCTAGTAACAATTCTGTGGCCCTCAGTAACAATTCTGTGGCCCTGAGTAACAATTCTGTGGCCCTCAGTAACAATTTCTGTGGCCCTCAGTAACAATTCTGTGGCCCTCAGTAACGGTTCTGTGGCCCTCAGTAACAATTTCTGTGGCCCTCAGTAACAATTCTGTGTCCCTGAGTAACAATTCTGTGGCCCTAAGTAACAATTCTGTGTCCCCTCAGTAACAATTCTGTGTCCCTGAGTAACAATTCTGTCCCCTAAGTAACAATTCTGTGGCCCTAAGTAACAATTCTGTGTGGCCCTCAGTAACAATTCTGTGTCCCTGAGTAACAATTCTGTGGCCCTAAGTAACAATTCTGTGGCCCTCAGTAACAATTCTGTGTCCCTCAGTAACAATTCTGTGTCCCCTGAGTAACAATTCTGTGGCCCTAAGTAACGGTTCTGTGGCCCTCAAGTAACAATTCTGTGTCTGTCCCTGAGTAACAATTCTGTGTCCCTAAGTAACAATTCTGTGGCCCTAAGTAACAATTCTGTGGCCCTCAGTAACAATTCTGTGTGTCCCTGAGTAACAATTCTGTGGCCCTAAGTAACAATTCTGTGGCCCTCAGTAACAATTCTGTGGCCCTCAGTAACAATTCTGTGGCCCTAAGTAACAATTCTGTGGCCCTCAGTAACAATTCTGTGGCCCTCAGTAACAATTCTGTGTCTGTCCCTGAGTAACAATTCTGTGGCCCTAAGTAACAATTCTGTGGCCCTAAGTAACGGTTCTGTGGCCCTCAGTAACAATTCTGTGTCCCTCAGTAACAATTCTGTGTCTGTCCCTGAGTAAATTCTGTGGCCCTAAGTAACTTTCTGTGGCCCTAAGTAACGTTCTGTGGCCCTAAGTAACAATTCTGTGTCCCCTAGTAACAATTTCTGTGGCCCTCAGTAACAATTCTGTGGCCCTCAGTAACAATTCTGTGTCCCCCTAGTAACAATTCTGTGTGCCCTAAGTAACAATCTGTGGCCCTCAGTAACAATTCTGTGTCCCTCAGTAACAATTCTGTGTCCCTGAGTAACAATTCTGTGGCCCTAAGTAACGGTTCTGTGGCCCTCAGTAAACAATCTGTGGCCCTCAGTAACAATTCTGTGTCTGTCCCTGAGTAACAATTCTGTGGCCCTAAGTAACGGTTCTGTGGCCCTCAGTAACAATTCTGTGTCCCTGAGTAACGTTTCTGTGTCCCTGAGTAACGTTTCTGTGGCCCTCAAGTAACGGTTCTGTGGCCCTCAGTAACAATTCTGTGGCCCTCAGTAACAATTCTGTGGCCCTCAGTAACAATTCTGTGGCCCTCTGTAACAATTCTGTGTGCCCTCAGTAACAATTCTGTGTCTGTCCCTGAGTAACAATTCTGTGGCCCTAAGTAACGTTTCTGTGGCCCTGTAACTGTGTCCCTCAGTAACAATTCTGTGCCCTAAGTAACAATCTGTGGCCCTCAGTAACAATTCTGTGGCCCTCAGTAACAATTCTGTGTCCCTGGCCCTCAGTAACAATTCTGTGGCCCCTCAAGTACAATTCTGTGGCCCTCAGTAACAATTCTGTGTCCCTCAGTAACAATTCTGTGGCCCTAAGTAACAATTCTGTGGCCCTCAGTAACAATTCTGTGTCCCCTCAGTAACAATTCTGTGTCCCTAAGTAACAATTCTGTGGCCCTAAGTAACAATTCTGTGGCCCTCAGTAACAATTCTGTGTCCCTGAGTAACGTTTCTGTGGCCCTAAGTAACGGTTCTGTGGCCCTCAGTAACAATTCAATTCTGTGTCCCTGAGTAACAATTCTGTGTCTGTGGCCCTAAGTAACAATTCTGTGGCCCTCAGTAACAATTCTGTGTCCCTCAGTAACAATTCTGTGTCTGTCCCTCAGTAACAATTCTGTGGCCCTAAGTAACGGTTCTGTGGCCCTCAGTAACAATTCTGTGTCCCTGAGTAACAATTCTGTGGCCCTCAGTAACAAACAATTCTGTTCTGTGGCCCTAAGTAACAATTCTGTGTCCCTCAGTAACAATTCTGTGTCCCTGAGTAACAATTCTGTGGCCCTAAGTAACGGTTCTGTGGCCCTCAGTAACAATTCTGTGTCCCTGAGTAACAATTCTGTGGCCCTAAGTAACAATTCTGTGGCCCTAAGTAACAATTCTGTGGCCCTCAGTAACAATTCTGTGTCCCTGAGTAACAATTCTGTGGCCCTAAGTAACGGTTCTGTGGCCCTCAGTAACAATTCTGTGTCCCTGAGTAACAATTCTGTGCCTAAGTAACGGTTCTGTGGCCCTCAGTAACAATTCTGTGGCCCTCAGTAACAATTCTGTGTCCCCTGAGTAACAATTCTGTGGCCCTAAGTAACGGTTCTGTGGCCTAAGTAACAATTCTGTGGCCCTCAGTAACAATTCTGTGTGTCCCTGAGTAACAATTCTGTGGCCCTAAGTAACAATTCTGTGGCCCTCAGTAACAATTCTGTGTCCCTCAGTAACAATTCTGTGGCCCTAAGTAACGGTTCTGTTCTGTGGCCCTCAGTAACAATTCTGTGGCCCTCAGTAACAATTCTGTGTCCCCTAAGTAACAATTCTGTGGCCCTAAGTAACAATTCTGTGGCCCTCAGTAACAATTCTGTGTGTCCCTGAGTAACAATTCTGTGGCCCTAAGTAACAATTCTGTGGCCCTCAGTAACAATTCTGTGTCCCTGAGTAACAATTCTGTGGCCCTAAGTAACGTTCTGTGGCCCTAAGTAACGTTCTGTGGCCCTCAGTAACAATTCTGTGTCTGTCCCTGAGTAACAATTCTGTGGCCCTAAGTAACGGTTCTGTGGCCCTCAGTAACAATTCTGTGGCCCTCAGTAACAATTCTGTGTCCCTGAGTAACAACGTTTCTGTGGCCCTAAGTAACGTTTCTGTGGCCCTCAGTAACAATTCTGTAAACAATTCTGTGGCTGTGGCCCTCAGTAACAATTCTGTGGCCCTCAGTAACAATTCTGTGGCCCTCAGTAACAATTCTGTGTCTGTCCCTGAGTAACAATTCTGTGGCCCTAAGTAACGTTTCTGTGGCCCTCAGTAACAATTCTGTGGCCCTCAGTAACAATTCTGTGGCCCTGAGTAACAATTCTGTTTCTGTGTGCCCTAAGTAACAATTCTGTGGCCCTCAGTAACAATTCTGTGTCCCCTGAGTAACAATTCTGTGGCCCTAACTAACGTTTCTGTGGCCCTAAGTAACAGTTCTGTGGCCCTCAGTAACAATTCTGTGTCCCTGAGTAACGTTTCTGTGGCCCTAAGTAACCGTTTCTGTGGCCCTAAGTAACGTTTCTGTGGCCCTCAGTAACAATTCTGTGTCTGTCCCTGAGTAACAATTCTGTGGCCCTAACTAACGTTTCTGTGGCCCTAAGTAACGATTCTGTGGCCCTCAGTAACAATTCTGTGTCCCTGAGTAATGTTTCTCTGTCCCTAAGTAACGTTTCTGTGGCCCTAAGTAACGTTTCTCTGTCCCTAAGTAACGTTTCTCTGTCCCTAAGTAACGTTTCTGTGGCCCTCAGTAACGTTTCTGTGGCCCTCAGTAAAGATTCTGTGGCCCTCAGTAATGTTTCTCTGTCCCCAAGTAACGTTTCTCTGTCCCTAAGTAACGTTTCTCTGTCCCTAAGTAACGTTTCTCTGTCCCTAAGTAACGTTTCTCTGTCCCTAAGTAACGTTTCTGTGGCCCTAACTCTGTCCCTAATACAGAGCGGTCTGCCTCTCTTGAATGACTGGAGGCAAATGGAGAATTCTAAAAGCCGCCATTTATAGCTCGACCATTACACAGTGCTTGCTGGCTGGCTGCTGATTGGCTAATGCGATCACATGTCATTAATGAATGTATTATGGGTCAGCGCGCCTTGTCTGCGCGCCTTCCCAGACATCCCCGCTCCGTCGCCGCACATGTCGCCGCCGTTTTAGGAAAAATTTCGATTCGCGCATCCAAAGTATGATAATTTTCGGATTCGGCGCGAATCGAAAATTTTCCAATATTCGAAACGAATTCCACTTCGCCTACTTCGATTCGCTCATCTCTAAATAATACATTTTGGCCTAAATTTATGAAGAAAAATGATTTTCTCAGATATGTTTTATAAGAGAAAGTAGAAAATATTGCTTTTTTCTAAATTTTTTTGTCTTTTTTTGTTTATATAATAAAAAAATAAAACCCAGTGGTGATGAAATACCACCAAAAAGAAACCTCTATTTGTGTGAAAAAATATATCATATTTTTCACTCCATAAGACGCACTTTTTTCCCCAAAAAAGAAAGGAAAATGTCAGTGCGTCTTATGGAGCGAATATGGAGCGGCCGGTCCGGTATTTCCACCGCCGCCGTGTCAGAATACCGGGCCGGCCGCTCAGCTCTGTAGCGGGACCTTACCTGTTCCTCTATCCAGCGCCGCGCTGTCTTCCCGGCTTCTGTAGTGTGGGCGCTCGGCTCGACAGCCGGATACCCAATGCGCATGAGCGAGAAGTGGTGTGCTTTGTGAATGGTAAGGTCCCAGAAGCTGCCGGACCAATCACAAAGCGCAGCGCTTCTCGCGCATGCGCACTGGGCATCCGGCTGTCAAGCCGAGCGCCCACACTACAGAAGCCGGGAAGACAGCGCGGCGCTGGATAGAGGAACAGGTAAGGTCCAACTGCAGAGCGGACACTAACCAAAGAACAACTCCGTGGAAGTAAGAGCGGGGGTACCTGTCAAATTCGGGTACCCGCTCCCCCCCCCTCCCCAAAGGTCAGCAGTCATCTCCTGTACTGTGTCCGCAGTCTCTGGTCATCTCCTGTACTATGTCCGCAGTCTCTGGTCATCCCCTGTACTATGTCCGCAGTCCCTGGTCATCCCCTGTACTGTGTCCGCAGTCTCTGGTCATCTCCTGTACTGTGTCCGCAGTCTCTGGTCATCCCCTGTACTGTGTCCGCAGTCTCTGGTCATCCCTGTGCTGTCCGCAGTCTCTGGTCATCCCCTGTACCCGCAGTCTCTGTATCCCTGTGTCCCGCAGTCTCTGGTCATCCCCTGTACTGTGTCCGCAGTCTCTGGTCCTCTCCTGTACTGTGTCCGCAGTCTCTCTGTTCCTCCCCTGTTCTATGTCTGCAGTCTCTGGTCATCTCCTGTTCTGTGTCTGCAGTCTCTGGTCATCTCCTGTACTATGTCCGCAGTCTCTGGTCATCCCTGTACTATGTCCGCAGTCTCTGGTCATCCCCTGTACTATGTCCGCAGTCTCTGGTCATCTCCTGTACTATGTCCACAGTTTCTGGTCATCTCCTGTACTGTGTCCGCAGTCTCTAGTCATCTCCTGTACTTTGTCTGCAGTCCATTGGTTTAGAATATTTTTTTTCCTGTTTTCTGCCTCTAAAACCTAGGTGCGTCTTATGGAGCGAAAAATACGGTAAATGTTATTTGTGTATGGTGTTGTATGACCGTGTCATTGCCAGTTAAAGTAGTACAGTACTGAATAGCAAAAAAAAAAGGTCTGGTCATGAAAGGGGGTAAAGCCTTCCTGAGCTCAAGTGTTTAGTTTGAATCGCATTAAAAATAAAATAAATGGGTTTGATCTGAGCACTCGTGTTTTCTTAAAAATGAACCACAGCTTACACCTCGTACCAGGTTTATGTATGTGTATGAGCATAGCTTTACTGTATATGGAACCTTCATATTCAACCTGACAACCAAACTGACTTGTTTTACCTTTTGTTACACCTGGAACTATCTACAGTCCAAACAAGGCCAGACAATAAACAAATCCTAATTATATGTAATTATGTCTATTAATTCAGACCAACATAATACACAGTAGCCATGGGTGGGTGTGATGTTGGAAACAGTACACAAGAGATAAGAGTTGTTTAGGCATTTGCTATTAGAACACCTCTAGTATATAGTAAGGAGGTATAGATGGTCTGAAGAATCTACATGGGTGAGAGATTATCGAAGGGTCTCTCTGCAAGTCCATGTCTCGTGTGTCAGGGCGTCTTTAGGACAGGAAACTAAGATCCAACTAAGACATGAACAAGAAATGAAGGTTGTTCTTTAAAAACTCTCAATAACTTATCCCAACATTTTGGTGACCAGAAGAAGCTCTGGAGATTTGAACCCTCACCCAGAGGTTTTCTAGCCCCTTAGGAGTCTGAGCCAGACATCGATCTGGGTAGAAATTTGGAATCCTGGAATTGTAATCTGAAGACCTCGACGACTGAGCCTTGAACCAGGAGGCTTGAAGACTGAACAAAAGACTAAGCCGTGGAGCAGAAGACTGAAGAGAACACTGAACCTTGGTGCAGACGACTGCAAGACTAAAGATAAGACTGAAACTTGGAGCAGAAGACTGCAAGACTAAAGAGATGATTGAAACTTGGAGCAGAAGACTACAAGACTAAAGAGAAGACTGGATCTTAGAGCAGAAGTCTAGAAGACTAAACCTTGGAGAAGAAGACTACAAGATTGAAGAGTAAACTGAACCTTGGAGCAGAAGGTTACAAGACTAAAGAGAAAACTGCACCTTGGAGCAGAAGACTAGAAGACTGAATCTTGGAGCAAAAGACTACAAGACTGAACAGAAGGCTGAACCTTGGAGCAGAAGACTGAAAGACTGAACCTTGGAGTAGAAGAATACAAGATTGAGGAGAAGACTGAACCTTGGAGAATAAGACTGCAAGATTGAGGAGAAGACCAAACCTTGGAGCAGAAGGTTAAAAGACTAAAGAGAAAACTGAACCTTGGAGCAGAAGACTAGAAGACTGAATCTTGGAGCAAAACACTACAAGACTGAAGAGAAGACTGAACCTTGGAGCAGAAGACAGCAAGACTGAACCTTGGAGAAGAAGACTACAAGATTGAGGAGAAGACTGAACCTTGGCGCAGAAGACTGCAAGATTGAAGAGAAGACTGAACCTTGGAGCAGAAGACTAGAAGACTAAATTTTGGAGCAAAAGACTACAAGACTGAAGAGAAGACTGAACCTTTGACCAGAAGACTGCAAGACTGAACCTTGGAGAAGAAGACTGAAAGATTGAGGAGAAGACCAAACCTTGGACCAGAAGGTTACAAGACTAAAGAGAAAACTGAACCTTGGAGCAGAAGACTGCAAGACTGCATTGTGAAGCTAAAGACTACAAGACTGAAGAGAAGACTGAACCTTGGAGCAGAATACTGCAAGACTGAACCTTGGAGAAGAAGACTACAAGATTGAGGAGAAGACTGAACCTTGGAGCAGAAGACTGCAAGATTGAAGAGAAGACCAAACCTTGGAGCAGAAGGCTAAAAGACTAAAAAGAAGACTGAACCTTGCAGCCGAAGACTGAACCTTGGAGAAGAAGACTACAAGACTAAAGAGAAGACTGAACCTTACAGCAGAAGACTACAAGATTGAGGAAGAGACCGAACCTTGGAATAGAAGACTGAACAGAACACTGAATCTTGGACTAGAAGACCTGAACTGAGCACTGCAAACGTTATTTGAAGATTGTCGCTCAAATGCTGTAAGTATCCAATGTTTCCTTTTACGTATTGTAACTTAACTGTTTCCTTTCATTTTGTATAGTGCTGAGCAGACTGTTGACACTATATAGATTCTGCATAATAATAATGTAATGTAGCTCTTACCCTCGCATGGGGCCACATCGGATTGTAACTGGAGTAATGATATACATCACACTATATGAGCACACAGGAAATAGCCCCCAAACTACTTGATGGCAGATAAAGTGACTATATTGCTGCAAGGCAGGTAAATGCAATGCACAAAGCAATAAACAGGTGTGGAAGGCATTAAAACTAAACAACATGTCTATAAGGCCTGGTTCACACCTACGCAGTTTACTTTTGATTGGCTTCTGCAGTGCATTTTGCATTTTTTCACACGTGTTGTTCTTATTTTTGTTGTTATGCAGGTTAAAAACGCTTCATGCATTTCTGCCGCTTTTCCATTTTATTGAGCCAAGAAGGCAACTTGTTGCGTTTAAAAAAAATACCCAACCATTTTCAAACATGCAGCGGATGAAAAAATGTGAACGTGTCCCCTAGGAAACCATGTTAAAAGCAAAATGTACTAAAAAATGCAGAGGTGTGAAACAGGCCTTAGGCTATAATATGGCAATACAGCAAAGCCGGCCATAGATGGATTAAATCTCAACCAGGTCTGGCCGAGATTCGATCCAACCATGGGCAGACTGGTTGTACTGATTGTATTCTGCAATCGAAGTGATGGGAGGAGAGGGGGCACAGGAGCGCTCAGCCCACTCCTCTAGCTGGCGGCAATAAAAAAAATGAACAGATTCCTCCATCCACATAATAGGTCAGATGCGAGAAGGAATCCCCTTCCCCATTATGACATTGTCTTATGACCAGGGGCAGACGGACAACTCATGGGGCTCCTGGGCAATAGGGGATCATGGGGCCCCTGTGTCATTGCCCAAATTCAAAAAAGCCTATGAAAAAGGTACCAGGGGCATCTCATGGGGCCAAGGGTGGACTGACCATTTGGAAACTCGGGCACTGCCCAAGGGCCCGGGGTCAGTAGGGGGCCCATGAGATGCCCCTGGTACCTTTTTTATAGGCTTTTTTGAGTTTGGACAAGGACACAGGAACCCCATGATCCCCTATTGCTCGGGAGCCCCATGAGTTGTCAGTCCGCCCCTGCCTGGGGCCCCCTACTGACCCCAGGCCCTCGGACAGTGCCCGAGTTTCCAAATGGTCAGTCCACCCCTGCTTTTGACAGCTGAGACACCTCCACTGTCAGAAAGCTCTGATCACCAGCGGCAGCTGATTTGGTATAGCTGCTGGTCGACAAAAGTTTTCCAACATTCCTGCTCAACAGAAGTTGATCATTAGATAGGGATTGGCTATACATGGATCAAAATTTGACTGACCCCTGCTGAACCAGCCATTTGCATTTAAAATGCTTTGCCACAGAAAAGCGGTCAGCATTTTGATCTCTTTTCAGAGATATTTGACTGGTTGTGAGGATGCCTGTGCACTTCTGTTTTAACCCCCTAAATGCTGCACCCACATGCTACAACCGCAAGCATTGCACGCGGACGTGAGGCACTTGTGGGGCATCTCCACTTGATTGGATGGGTTACGTTCAGCTGAAGTTCTGCCCATTGAACAGGACAAGGGTAATCATTTTTGCTGTGATTGCATAGCAAAGCATCTCGATCACAGCATGTGAACACCCCCATCCGCTGTCTTTGCAGCGTAAAGGGGGTGGTGGTGGTGGGGAGCAAAAACGACACCTAACCAGGTGATTTCAATGTCCTCCCAAACCGTATGGCTAAACGAAACCTTACATCGTGTTTCCCAACCAAGGTGCTGTGGCCATTTGGGTTCCTCAAGGGTACCATGAGCAGGAGACCCAGTTTGCCTTGTATCTGAGATGGACAAGAATACTCTATGATCCTGTTTGGACAGGGAATGATGGTAACTCTGGTGTGATGGGGGATCTCATGTATAGGGGGGATTCTGATGTGATGGAAAGCCTCCAACTCTGTGGGGATGTTGGGCCTCTGTGGTGATGGGGGGGAATCTGATGTATAGGGGGAATTTGATGTGATGAAGGACTCTGACATGTAAGGAGACCACTGACATGAAGAAGGGACTCTGCTGTGAAGGAAAGGAAGGCCCTCTGATATGATGGGGGATCTCTGACATGATAGGGGACATCTGACACGATAGGGGACCTCTGATATGTTGGGGGACCTCTGACATGGTGGGCTACCTCTGACATAATGGGTGACCTCTGATATTATAGAAGACTTCTGATATAATGGGGACCTCTGACATGATGGGGGGACCTCTGACGTAATGGGGGGACCTCTGACGTAATGGGGGGACCTTTGATATGCTGGGGGAACCTCTGATATGATGAGGGCACCTCTGACATGATGGGGGGGAACTCTGATATGATAAGGGACCTCTGACATAATGGGGGGACTTCTGATATGATGGAGAACCTCTGATGTGAAGGGAGGGCTTCTGGTGTGGAATTCATTTCAATAAAGGGATTGTATGCACCATCCCAAGCTCAGGTTTTACACTTTAGACTGGGGGACCTCGAGATTCTGTATACTATTAAAGGGTGCCACCACTGAAAATAGGTTGAGAAACGCTGCCTTAGATAGCTGCTAGAAGTTTGTATAGCCCTAAAAAAGCAAAGTCTTCCCTTTTAAAGAGTAAGTTCACCTTTTCCAGGAAATAACCTATGCAGTCATGGGGCCCATCAGAAGCCTGGCTGAAAAACTCCTAGTTAGCAACCCTCGGGTTCTGATTTGTTTCTAGGATGTGAAAACCTTTGGATGCATCCAGTGGTGAAGCTATA